CCAACCTTCCTTCCGAGGAGTGGCTGGTGGGTTTGAACCGCCAGCCGTCTGGTTAGCAGGCAAGTGTCTTAGCCACTATGCTACCAGAGCACTGAAATAAATAAATGTAAAAATCTCAGTAACTTACTATTTTGAGAATCTAACATTCAAACAAAGTCTAATTGGTTATTCCTGGTCTGGTGACCTTCCACGTGCATTTGGGGATCCATCCTACGGCTCTGCCCTTCTCTCAAATGTCCTCTTCATTTAGTTGTGCAGTGATCGGCAAAACTCTTCTGGGAAGGACCATTAATCAATACTTACAGCTCTGAAAGCCATCCAATCTGTCAAAACTATTCAACTTCGACCACAGCAGCCACAAACTAACAGGCATAGCTGTGTTCCAATAAAACTTTATTTATAAACACAGGCAGCAGGCTGGATTTGGTGCACAGATACAGTTTGCCAATCCGTGATCCAAGGTAGGGAGGAAGGGAGACAACATGGTGGATTGTATAGGAGCTGTACGTCCCTTCTGTTCACAAGTCAGTAAGCCAGAACTTGGACACATGGCTCCAACTAACTGAAGGCTGGTCTATTTGTATTCCCAGTAATAAAAAATAAAGGGGCGGGGGGATTGGATTTGGAGAACACAACCACCTGCTTCTCCTTTCCAAAGAAAAACACACCAGTGTTAAAGAAGAATTGTTTGTACACACAAATACTGAAAATGGTGTAACGAATATCCCAGCATATTTGCCAACGGAAAATTATACACTGCTCTGGTGGCGTAGTGCGTAAGGTATCTGACTGCTAACCAGAAGGCTGGTGGTTCAAACCCACCAGCCACTTCTTGGAAAGAAGACTGGGCGATCTATTTCCACAGTGATACCGCCTCGGAAACCCAAGGAGAGGTCGCTATGAGTCGGATCCGACTCCATGGCAGTGGGTTTGGTTTGGGATGTTAGAAAGCACTACTTTACAAACTGTGGGGAGAACCACACAAATTAGTTGATACTGATGATGCTAAAGTGCTTGTGATTTTTCATTAAAAAGCACAAACAGCAGCAATTTTGAAACACAAACAACTCAATACCAATTAATAAACTGACAAACATCAGTCCTAAAAGTTAAGAGAATTCCAACTATACTTCTGTGTACACATGTAGCAGGACATGTGTACTGTACACGTGTGGTGTCCATGTGCAGCATGCCAACTTCCAGACTTCTCATAGAAAGCTGAACGGGCACTGATGGGCACACACAATGCTGTATATTCACCAAAGCCAATTCATTCTCCTGGCTACACAGCTAACCCGTTTCTCAACCCCTTATAGGAAAGTGGAGACGTCACCAAGTTCTGGCCAAACAGAAGGGCTCTACCTCTGAACAATCGTGGAAGTGATGCCCACCACTGCCAGGCCTGGCACACCAAAATGTCCACGAGTGATCCTGCACTCTGCCCCCTCTGCTAGGCCCCTGCAGGCCAGGTGTTAAATGGTGCCATCACCAGAAGGAGCCTGGCTCCTGAGTGACTCTGTGGGTCTGTTGCTTCAAACGTGCATTTGGTTTGGATTCTAACATGAGAAATCTAAAATATCCCATAGTAACCGAGGGATAACACCAGGAGACAAATATGAACACACTGTCTATAAACACAAACTAGCTTTAGTACGTCCTCACAGCCTTCACTCACAATAAACATGTTCTGCTTTAAAATCTGAGCTGGACACTCTTCCTATATTTAATCCTTCTTTTTACAGAATTAATTAGGACTAGCACTTTATTGAAAATATTTCACATTTACCACAAAACAAAGATGGTCTGCGACTCAAAAGGAATAGTAATTTCCAGGGAATCTATAAATGTGTCAGCTGCTAACTAAAAGGTTGGCGGTTTGAGCCTACCAGCCATTCTGGAAAGAATGGTGAGCCAGTCTGCTTCTGTGAAGATTTATAGCCTTGGAAACCCTATGGGGCAGTCCTACTCTGTCCTAGAGGATCGCTTGGAGTTGGAATTGACTTGATGGCAACAGGTTTGGGGTTTTTTTTTTTTTT